CAGGAAGTGTTTAGGAAATGGTGAGAAGTAAGAGTAAGGTTGGGCTTTAACTCTGGGCTTGTGGAAAAGGATGAACAAGAGGGAGGGGGAGAATGGTCCACTGGGACCAGTTGTAAAGCCTGGCCATGGCTCCGAGGGGTTGGGCTTTTTCCGTAGTCTGTTGGATTTTTAAGTAGGGGAGAGACATGGATTAAATGAAAATGGCCAGACCCCTGAGTATTTTTAGTGGGGGATGTTGGCTTTATTTCTCTGCCTTATGTTCTTGAGCTGTTTTGGAAGTTTTTGCAAATGTCCCGTTGGGTGGCATTTTGGTGGTGGTTTCTTTAAAGGACTTTGCTACGCTTTAGTGAAGGGTTTTTTAAAAGGGAGCCCGTTTTTTGACATTCTGTTTTCTGTAACTGCTATTGAGGAGAGGTAAAGCAAAGCCGGGCTCTTGTAGAACACTTGCAACCCAAGACAAGCAGGTCTCTGTTTCTGTCACAGTTGTACAGTAAGGCCATTCAGTCCTCAGAACCAAGAAGATAACACGGTGCACTTATTTAATAGTCTAATTGCTCTTCTGTTTTGTTCCGTCATTAAATGGTGTTAGAATTGAGAATTAGGACTCTCTTTCCTCGCCAAAAGAAAACACAAGTGGCTTGTTGACTGCAAGATTTACTCTCACAGATCCTTCCAGAGTAATATAAAATCCTGGCCGTGCCTCCATAGCAAGGAGGTGGCATATGCCCCGGCCTCCTCTCCTGAATGCAGGCTCCATGCCCAGAAGGACATCATAAATCATTTAAAATTTATGATGAGCCCAGTCGTGTGTTACACCCTGTTAGTTGGCTGCCATCTGTCCTCTGCACACTATAGCCTTCCTTCTTCAGAGCACAGAGACTTTTTCAGATGAGCCACAGGACAGAGAGCTCAGGATTTTCCCTTTGGCGGGCCCAGCCAAAAAGTAGAGGGGGCAGAAAACAGAAGACGCCTGTTCATAGAGTCTTGCCACAGGCCTCGCTTGCTTTCTCCTAGGCTGGAGGTGGAGAAGGGGCAGAAAACAAGACCGTTAGCATTATCAGCCTGTTTTCTCTTACTCATTTATGCAGCAAATGCACATATTTTCTGAGTTCTAACAACCTGCAAGGCACTGTTGGGAAAACCTGCAACTGTTGGGAAAACGGCAGTAAACAAAACAAGGGTTTTGGTTCTCATCTAGACCATACTTAAGGAGTAGGTGCCATTTCAGGAGGGGATGACGTATTTTGCAGGATAAGATGGATAAAGATGAGAAAAGGAACAAGCTATTCTACACTGGGTGTGTGAGGAAGGGATTTCTAATAAGGTGACCTTTGAGCAGAGACTTGAAGGAAGTGATGGACTGAGCTGTGTGGGGGTCCGGGAAAATCCCATCCTGGTAAGGACAGAGGCCACCAGGCAGGGGCTTGCCACGTGTGTCAGGTGACAGGCAGCAGGGCTGGAGGGGCTGGAACAGAGAGAGCCAGGAGGGAGCCATCAGGGAAGGACTCCATGGTGGGGGGCATCCTGCGGGGGGCAGCCTTCGGGGGTCATTGTAGAGACCATGCCAAGGAGTAGAGATAGTATTCAAAGCCAGATGGACAGCCATTGGACGCTTTTGGAAAGATCGGTCCTTTTCAAATATTTGAAAAGCCAGAGTATAAGCATGAGAGCAGGAAAATGGGGGCACAGGGTGTCCTTCACTTCTCAGAAAAATGTGTGCTGTTGTAATCACAAGGGAACTGTCAGAACTTTAACTCCCCCAGTCCAGGGAGCAGGGAGCAAAACAGAAATCATGGGTTTGCTTGATCTCCGTGTAAAAACCACACATGCTTTTTTTGATAGGGATAAAAGTGAGCCCCCATGAGCTATTTACTCAACTGGGAACAATACTTCTCCTGGAGACACCTGGCTACTGCGTCCAGTGATCTGTGCCCCTGCTAACTCTCTTCCCCAGCAGTACTTGCGAGGGAGGCAGGCCCTCAACATTGCTGTTGTTGCACTGATTAGTGTGAACTTCAGGGTCAAAGAGCAGCTGGTTGGATACTCGACATCAGATTCTAGGAGGCTTCAATAACCCGCTTTGCTCTCAGTGAACACAGAACTAACTCGTACACTGTTTCCCTATCACAAATGACTTACTTTACTCTAGAGCTATAGGGACCATGGGCTTGATTAACTGCCGAGGTCATGGGGAGTGTGGTTCTGACTCCTTATGAGGAATACTTTCCTAAGAATGAGGGTGACAGATGTCTGGAGGAGGCCGTCCTGCCTCTGAATGTTTTCAAGCAGGTGAGCACATCTCAGGAATGTTCCTGAAATGACTCCTGCTTTGTGCGGCCCTGTTGGACGAGAATGACCTCTCCAATTCATTCCAGTGCAGAACACTTCCAAGCCTATGAAAAAGTGTCCAGTGAATGTGCTCTGCAAACATACAGACACTATGTAAACATGAGGCAAATATTTTAAAAGATGAAGAGTGTGATACTTGTTCTTCTGGGAGAGCGGTGGTTGGAACTTGGTGCCCGAGCAACATACTTTCCATGCTCAGTCGCCTGCAGTTTGTTCTCATTGGCCCACTACACAGTTATCTGCACTGTGTGTTAAAAACCTGCTCAGCCAGAGACCAAACAAATCGCCAGGGCATTTTCCTATCAGGGCCCGTTTATAAAAGGTAGAGCAAAGAACAAAGCTGTGGGGTTTGATTCCTGGCCGGAAGCCAAGCTGCGTCCTCAGAGCTCCAGAATTTACAAGGAAGAAAGAGGAGGGATTTATTAACTGAGATTAAGTTAGACTTAAAGCGACAGAAAGCTTAAAACTAAAACTGAATCATCCTCTGGGATCCATACTGGAAAGGCAGAAACAAAAATGAGATATGTTCTGGGCTCTCAGACGATTTTTTTTTAGTGCAAGAGTGAAAGCTTTTAAAGACGCCCAAAGCAGAGATTACGGAATGGCCTTGATTAATGAGAGAGGATCACACACCATTGGAGGTGGATGAGGTGTCCTTCAGTGACTATTGAATGCAGTGGTCAGGGTCCATCTGAGCCAATATATCCATTGGATCCAATATATCCAATCATATATTCGGACAGTGTTCGCAGCACCCCTACTGTGTCGTTAGGGGTGTTGTTTGGCTCCCTGTGCTGACAGGAGTTCTCTTCTCTTTGACAAAAGCTTGAACAAATCGAAGCTATCCTGAAATAACAGCTCTCTTTTTACCTAAAAGAACAGCTCCAGCTGGCCCCCCACACCCAGTTAACTTTGTCCATTGAAATCACCAGCGTTTAATGAGCTGTGGTTACTTGCTTCTGGAAGGAGGGTGGAGTGGGGGGTGGGTGGCAATCTAAAGGAAGAGGGGAAGGTTCTGTGTGTGTGTCCATTTGAACCAACAAGGTGTTAATTATCATTCTTGTGACCATTTGTTCATCCACTCGTTCATTTATTCATTTTCTTGTTTGTTCCATTCTGAGTCTCTCCACAAAACGTGTTTGGCAAAACTGAGAGCAAAGGGCATGTATACTAGAAATTAAATACAAATGAAGTCAGGTCTCTAAGAAGGAGGAAACAGATTTCATCCATGAATCGTCATATGAAATCTGTGTTAAAATCAAGTGTTACTCTGACCTCTGGCAACCAGGATAAAAGGGGAATACACAATTACTAGTTGTCAGAAAAGGAAAGAAATAGTTCAGTTTCTTCAAGAGAGGCTAAGTGTTGGTACTCCGGGGCTCATGCCATTGCTGAAGACTTTCAGGGGCTTCATACAAAGCTCTCAGCCCAAGGCACACCCCTCTCTCCCCCTCTCTGTCTTCAGAGTCCTTCCTTCAGACCACCTGGAGCACCCCCAAAAAACATGTCCTTAGTGTTATTACGAGCCCCGTCTATATGTGTTAGGGCAGGACTTGGGGTAATGGATCTTGAAATGATGTTGTTCATGTGGCTGTAGGATTTGCAAATTCTGAGACCAGAAATAGGAATTTTGGGGAGAATCAGAATCCAGTCCTGCTGTGGCTACCTGGTCTCCACCAATGTGCCTTTCCTTCTCTCTAAAGAGCCCTAGGCCCTTTCTGTGGCCCGGTTCTGCTGTGTCAAGGTGCTTTTTCGAACAGGTCATCTAGAGGGAAGAGAATTCTCCAGAACACACTTCGGACAGTGTTGGCTCAGAGGATTAGTAGATGATACTAATTTTACACACCATCTTGGCACCTCAAAGTGAGGAGTAGAGTTAGACATGCAGGGTTCAGGAAACCAATACTATATACACATAAGGTGAATACGAAGTCCCACCCTAACCTCCTGAACTCCACTCTGAAGTTGTAGCAGGAATTTAAATTCTTCCAGAAGAGGGAAGAGGCATTGTTGAGATTCCCATCCCTTGACGTGCCTTTGAAAGCATGAATTGACCCCATCCTCCTGACTTGGGATTTGTCAGGGGATATACCGGAACATGCTAGACCTTTTGAGTATGGCAAGGGAAAGAGTTACAGAGATCTGATGTGTTGGACTTTTGTGATAGATGGTGTGAGAGAGAAAACACTGGAAAAGTAGTCCCTTTTCTCTGGGATCCAGATGAGTTACCTGACTATCTACTGAACGTTTGTTTGTCTGTTTGGTTTTCATGTAAACATACGTATCCTTTGTGTACATTGCATATTCATTGAAGCCTATGTTTTAGAATGCCTTAAAAAAAGGAATATTTTGAAGTGAGAAGTAGCCTTTGTGCTCTATAGCTGATATGGATAATGTGTCTGGTTTCTTGGGCAAACATCATCATTTGAAGGACCAGGCACAGCAGCTGGGTTTCAGAGCACAGGCTACAGTCCTTTGCCCTTGTCCTAATTATATTTGCTCCAACCACGTATTTTGCTAGACAACTCAAAAAACTGGGCGTTGAGCCCTCAGGTGAACAGAATAAATATGCTCAATTCTACTTGGAATGTTTTTCATAATTATTTTAAGCAATGACTTGATTCTTACTTATGCTTATTCTTTTTTAAAAGTATTAGAAAGGAAGATATCCACAAGACAAAGTAGAGAGGAGCTGATAAGAAGGGGCGTTCTTAAGGAGTTGCCTGATCAAGGTGAGGAAATTAATCATACATTTAAAGTAACTTGATCCTTTATTCTTTGGTCTTTCTTTCATTTTCTTTTAAAATTTAAGATGATCATGGTCTTTGGGAGATAAAGCAGTGAGTACAGCACTCTGAGAATCTTGCTTTAATTCAGAATACCTTTATGGGCTGCAGAGAATCTAAGGTATTCTAGAAAAGAAATTCAGTGACCTTCACTGAATTCAGTCCTTCACTGTATGTCACTAACCCTAAAGCTCTACAAAGGTACTCAGCTAAAGATACAGATAAGATACAAATGTTTATATGACTCCTGTTCTTGAGCTTCAGTCTTTCTATACAAGTTAACTCAGTTGTTTGAGTAAAGGCAATGTTGTAGCTTGGCTCCTGCCTTTTGGTTTCTTAAGCCTACCAGTAAAAGAAAAGGGAGAGAAAAGAAATAGTAAATGTATCTTTTGTTCTTACTCTATAATACAATCAAATGTACAATCAATAAGGCACAAATGGACAAATTAAATTAATCCGCTTTATGCATTCTCTCAAGTAATTTTCCTAGTATTGTTCTCTTTTCATTTCTTTGAATCTAATTGTCTTTCACCTTTTCACTAACAATTATTATTTCTAAGTATTTTGTTTTCCCTGTCCCTAATCTTCTTCCCCTTTTTTTCTCTATCCTCCCAAGGGGGAATCTTGCTCAAAAAGACTAGGCTTAGATAGAAACCAAGATAGACCCTCAGAAGAAGACACCAAGATTGGTTATTTCTCCAAATAAGTAATACCAAATAATTTTCATTGCTCCCCCTACTCTTAAAACTATAGGAAATTTTTGTTGCAAAATTGTTGATTTACCTCATGCCTTCCCTTGCCCCACCCCCTGGACATATACTGGGATAAAATAGTATTACTGTACTTTTATGGGAACAAAAAAAGTGCTATTAATTTGGAATTAAATCACAGAATTCTGGTAAATGTTCTTTGCAAAGAACATCTTTTGGAATTCACTATTTATAAATCCAAATGACACACTTTTTCCGACATCTGAATAATTCTAGAGTGGAGCTAGGAAATTCTTTACTATTTTACTGCTGTTTCAAAGAATATAGGGATTTCTAGAGTGAATAATGCCATTTTTCTTGAGCCCTCAAGATTCAGGCGTTTTATTTCAATCTCTGACCGATCACATTTTTCTCATTCTGTTTTATGAATGAACTTTATGTCTTCTTTAATTTTCTATTACCATGAAGCTATTTATTTCCTATCTGGGACTTTTAAAGATAAAAAAAATGCATACCCCTAACTTTTTGTTCCTGGAAGGCGGGCTTGCAGTATCAAAATTAGTCTCCCCTCTAATCTCTCTAGAGGCAGGAGAGAAATTACAGATCCACTGAGCAATCACCTTTCTGAGCTATCACCTTCCTGGACTGGGCCAGCACAATTGTTTGGTATCATTTATTTGGAAATTGTGTAAAGAAAGGAAAAATGCAAAAATTTATGACTGAAATTGCTAATGAGTATGAAAGATAGAGATTTAGAGACCCCTTTTTATCTGATTAAAAATTATAGCTAGAAACGAGTTTATTTTTTCTAAAAACAAGTGGCAGTGGTCAACTTAAATGCTTAGTGTTGATTGGTTTTTGTTCTGCCTAATCTGTTAAACTATTTACTTGATGGGTTATAATTTCCGATACTTACTTCCCAGAATTCTGACTCTAGTTGACCTTTTGGTAACCTCCGCAGACTGAACATTAAAAGTTTTTTAAAACATAAAAGAATGAAACAATCTTTCACCTAAACATAATGTAATATTTAATGTTTGGGAAGTCCTAAATTACTGAATTTTACTTTCTGCCTTTTTCATGGTTCCTATATGGAACTATAGAAATGATCTAATCCTTGAAAGTTCCTGGTGATGCCTCTTGTAAATAGAGTCTTTCCCCTTTTCAGCCAAGGGCTGGAGAAAATAGTTTTCTGTCATTTCTCCAGAAACAATTATCTTGAGAATTTCAGTCTGTTTTCAGCCCTAGCCAGAGACTGGAAGCTGCTGTGCTTGGTGACCACCTCCTGTCTTCTGCCAGTGAAGATTCATTCTTTGCCTCGATCTTCCTGACCTTGCCTTAGCTCTTGACAGTTATTATCAATTATGCCCTTTATTCAGGGAGCCAGATAGACTCTTTCGATCCCTCCAGCTTCCCTGGGTCTGACCTCATCTCATCCCACCCCATACCCTCACTCCCAGCTTTTATTATTATTATTCCTTTTAGATGATCTTTTTTACACTAACCTCTAACTTCCATCTAAAAGTTCAACAATTGATCTTCTCCCCTGAGATTTCCCAGGAAATCTAGTCCAAGGTCATTCCTTATTTTCTGCTTCTTTCCTTCCATCTTTTCCCTTAGCTTTAGCATGAGGGCATGGAGATGTTCCTGCCTGCCATGCAGCCTCCTTTCTCTCTCTTCCACGGTGTACTAGTTTTAACCTTCTGATGAGTCACTCACCGTTTGGTCACACACAACTTTCTCCTCATCTCTGTTTCTCTGTTAACTATATCCCAGATACACTCGTTTGGCCAGAAAGAGGGAAAGCCCCCAGACACTCTCCTGCTCCTTGTTTCACCACTGATGTCTGTGTGCTTCATCTCTTGTTCACTTGAAGCTTACAGCCTTTTCTGAGCTGTCTTTTTCCTCTGCATACAAGGGCTCCTATTACTTATGACATCAGCATCTTCCCCTCCTCTCCTTTGCTGGCAGGTATGTGTGCATTTCACTCACATACACAAACTGAATGCACCCCCACTGGCTGACACACACATTGTGACACACAGAAATGCTCACATACATACATACACTCACATATTTAATCACTAACAAAACACATGTCCCCTCTCATTCAGATATGCTTCTAAATTCACTTTTATACACAGACATAGATGTATGGACATGCACACATTGACATATTTATTCTTTCACCAAAATATGCTCAACTAATTCAGTCATATGAAAGGGCTCATACTGTTTTATGAATGAACTTTATGTCTTCTTTAATTTTCTATTACCATGAAGCTATTTATTTCCTATCTGGAACTTTTAAAGATAAAAAAAAATTAACATCCCTAACTTTTTGTTCGTGGAAGGCGGGCTTGCAGTATCAAAATTAGTCTCCCCTCTAATCTCTCTGGAGGCAGGAGAGAAATTGTAGATCCACTGAGCAATCACCTTCCTGGACCAGAAGGAAGGGCTCAACTTGTTTTAACTCTACCATTATGCACAAAACTAGAAAACCTTTTCAGTGCACACACCAATTAATTATTAATGACTTCAGTTCTACTCTGTTTGATGTTTGAATTTATATTTATCACATATTGGTCTCTTTTTCCTACCTTACTTTCATAGGCACTAGCTTTATTTCAGACCTCAAAGTAAGTATCTTTCCACATTGTTGACTCTATTATGTGAAAATCCAATTTCTTACTGCACCACGAGTATTTAATTTTCTCTCTAGCTTTTTTTGTTCTAGATTTTAAAATCAATTTTTTAACCTACTAAAGAATTTTAGCATAATAAGGGTTAAAATATAATTAAGTTTTCGCTAACATGACTTAAGCATATTTTTGTTACCAATTAAAGGCCGAGTAGTCAAAGATTAATTTATATTTGGGTGCCTAAAAATTGAGGGTTTTTTTATATAAAGAAGTGGTTTTCTATTTTGTTTGGAATTTTCCATTCTTAACATTAGTTTTTAATTTTCCTGTGTCTAATATCTGGACATTACATTGTGTCTCCCCTCCCTTGTTTTTAATAGTGAATTCCTTGGTATCTAATAATAAGAATTAAGAATCATTTGATTTCCCTTTGGTTTGACCTATACTCTTTAAAAAGTATTGCCTTAATTTTATTGAAATAGTTAAGATTTATTTGCAGTGGCATTGCCCTCAATTATCATCTATTTTACTTGTATACAGGAATCAGATTATAGGTACTTGGAAGTTATATGGCTTAGCAATGATTGCTTTTTCATTTTGAGCATGACAAAATTCCATGATATGTATTTTTCTTATTAAAATGTCATGCCTGTTTTTATGGACAAGGCTAATGGATTTTATGTTGAGCCAAAGCAGTTCAATCATATTTAATGAAAATTTGAGAGATGATCTCTGTTTTACTTGTAATGATTGCCAAAGTAAGATTAATCAAAAACTGAATAAAAAGAGCTCTAATCATGCATTTCTTGAACTTTGCAAAGTCAAAAACTTCAACTCATTGTTATTATTATTATTATTTTTACATTGGTAGCAAAGCCTCTTAAAATGTTCCAGTTATGATCTAGGGTTAGTCTTTTCAAACATCACTGAATTAAGAGTTTATGCAAAAAATCTCATTCACTTTAGAAACTTCTAGAAATTATGAAACTTCACGGATTAGGTTTAGTTATTTCTGATTTAGATAACATATTAGAAATTTTATTTTCACTTGTGTTTTTTTTAAAGTTCCTCTGTAATTATTTTTCTTCACATTTTTTTCCCTAATATTTTCAAATTATAATTAGGCCACATTAAAGGCTTTTGGTCTGTTATATGTAACAATTACCTGAGTACATTTTAATATTTCCATCAATAAATAAGAAAACGAAAATAGAATTAGCCTCGCTACCACCTTTCCCTGAATACAGAGTGGTAGTTATATTCTTATGTAAAGTTAACATTATCACAGATGCAATCATGTGAGGCAGAGATGGTTGTAAATTTTCATATTCTCCCTCTAATCTTTTGTATGTATAATTACACTTCATGTTATTTGTGTATTTATATTCACCTTATGTTTTTAGTGCTTGTTAAAAATGTTTATTCCATTTTCCAGATTTCTCCTTTTACCGTTCAGTTTGTGAATAACAGAGACTCCTAAGTACTGACTTCAACAAAGCCTAAGTACAGAAGAGAAGGGCTCTGTTGCCCAGGGATGTTGTATAATTAGGATAATAATTCCCACTGTCCCAAAAGGGCAAGCAGATATCCCCTCCATTGATGCTTTGCCCCAAGACTAAGGATTTTCTAGCTTTTTCTTTGGAATGAATTATTTGGTAAAACATGGTGAAATGATGCAGGATGTATCCGGTTCCCAGGGTCTGAAAACACGAACCCAAACCCTACAGTCCTAGTAACTGGAAAACTGGGTTTTAAGAAAGCCATCAAGTTAGACATCTAGGTGTTTCTTTCCCCATTATAGATGGAGATGTAACAGTTAACTTTGAAAATTCAAACGGGCACATGATACCCATCGGAGAGGAATCTACCCGAGAGGAAAATGTAGTAAAATCTGAAGAAGGTAATGGCTCTGTAGCTGAAAAGTCACCACCTCTGGAGGAAAAGGCAGAAGATAAGAAAGGTAAAATCAAGAGAAACTCCATATTCTTTTACTTCAATACAGCTCAACGTTGAGACTCAGGTCTTAGGCTCCAAATAGTGACTCTTAAGACCAGTTAGGGAGGAGGTTTGCAAATACAAAGAAGAGAGAAATTACGACGAGTGAAGAGAAATGGGATGGTTTTCTCAGGTAGATGCATACATTTTGTAAGCACATCATTTAATTTTTTACTTGGGAGCATTAATTAACAGTAATAAGCAGATCGCCTCTTCAGTCATTAGAGCTCTCTGGGAATATTATCCTTTCCTCGGGAGCTTTCCCTCAGTATTTTCTCTTATTTTTAGAAAAAATGCTATCAGTCTGAATATCTTCTTCTACTAGTTAGAAGTAATCTTTGTGAGCATGTCAGTGTGGAGGGATGGAGGAGTATCAAAACCAAGATGGCTCTTTCTTGCCCAGCATCATCTCTCCAATAGTGGGAACTTAGCTGGTGGCATCCATACACCCAATGGTGTAGGTTCTAGTCCAGGTTCTAGACATTTCTGAGAGAGACCCAAGAATAGTTCCCAGAGATGCTGGGGACTTTGGTTGACCACAGCCTCAGCTTCATGATTTGCCTGTGCAATTGGAAATTTCAAAATACACCAGGGGCAATTATGCCCTTCCCTGAAGGCTTCTTAAAAGACCTTGGTTTCTAGAGTGAATATGCTATGGTCGATTAAGGTACCTGCAAAATCTGTGTCTATCAAGGACCCCTCAAAACATTTCACAAGTTCCTGGTCACTGACTGACTGATTGATTACCTCTCCCTAAGACTTCTATCATGTGCAGGAACCTCCAAGCCTTGTACTTATGCAAATCAGAACTGAAACCCCCACAAAGTAAGGATTTGTTGGGAGATTCTAGATGATTCCATGCAGCCTAGAAATGAATCCTCAGGAAGCAGACTATTTCCTGTCCTGTAATGTCTGCCTCTGAGTTGAGTGGCAAAAATTTGTCAGACCTAGCTTAAGTTCTGTAGGCATTGTGAAAATTCTTAGAAACTAAGCAGACTTCTCTTCCTCTGTTCTTGACCCAAATCCTCTAAAGACAAAGAAAACAAAAGAGCACTTGACAGACATTATAACTTAAAATCATCTTCTCTGGAAGTCCATAACCCCTTATTTGCATGTAAATTAGCCTGTAAAAACTTCAGAAGCCTCTATGAAATCTGTTAGAAATTTATTATTTTGCTTTATTTATTCAATATTAAGTATAGTATTCATGAGGCTTTACTTAGTCTTGTTCTATTGAAGGACTCCTGTTAAACTTACAAATACCGATTACAAGAAATTAGCTAATATTTTTAATGATCATATTCCTGGAACATAAAGAGAAAATAGACCTAAATAGATTCCAGTGGGATTAATTTGAAAGTATTCATGCAAGTAGTGGTTTTTTGTTTTTTGTTTTTTTTTAAGTCCAACTATCCTGTCTCACCCAACTGTTAAATTTCAGATCCATCTGTGGTTTGTCCCTGGTACGGCCTTTTCACATTCAAGAATCACACCCTTCCTTACATAATAGTGCCATCATTACTGCTTGCCTGGTCCATGTGGGATGTCCATCAGTGGTCTGGCCAAGCTTCAGAGGACGTGTTTCCCTTATCAACTTAATAAAAAGTTGCTGACAGTTCTATGTTAATGAAACCAGCAGGCCTTGATGTTCTAAAAGGATGGCAGACCTCATAGTCCTAGGTCCATGGATATTTGAGAGGTGTTTTTGTTTTCTTATTCTTTACTTAGAATTAGTACATTCAGTTCTTTTTGGTCAAACAAGGTCTAAGATAGCATCTTGCTTGGCTGGTCTGTACATCAAGAGATGGAAATGCTGGACATGCTGCCATACCACCAATAAGGCAGCAAAGCTTCCCTCTTGCTGTGTGGATGGTACGCCTGCCGGAGCCACACTGAAAGTGAGGGAAGGCATTTGGTATGGAAGCCACTTCCTGAGAGTCAAAAGAATGTCACTCATAACTCACACCGTACACAATGTTAAACATAAGATAACCTCATAGACAAAGATAGCCACTTACTTCTCTGGGAAGACACCGTTTAATTCCAAAAAACAGCCCAAGATTCACTTTTGCTTCTGCTCCGTTCATGGTTTCACTAGCATGCAAATCCACAATCCCATGTTCTTAATTGACCCTTCGGGTGTTCTTAATTCCCTTTCAGGGGGGTGAAATGCTCCTTTTCCTTTCACATTAAGCCAATTTATCCGAGTGTTATTTCATCTATTAATTGTTTATATTTGCAAAACCGTGCCACATGCCCTTAAGCCCCCAAATGCTTGTATCTCTTTGTAAGATAATATGTCAGTACTTTAATTATTGAAACATCGGTGTCAAAGAAAATAGAACAAATGGCAAATGCCCTTACACTGCACAGTGTGTAGGTTCCACCCGTGACTCTTGGGTGTTCCTGGGGCTCTGTATGGCACTGGACTCCAGAGTTGGTACAGTGGTCCAGGACCTCCTCTGCCTAACACTGGAGACTTTTCCCTAAAACCTTTAGGGCTTTCAGTCTCCCACTATTCCTTCTCAGTGAGTGCCTTTAAATATATAAGAAAAACCAATCTTCAATCTGTTATACATATATTGGTATTAAATATAAGAAATCTGAAAATGATTTGATATTCTATCTGTTGTGGTGTTGTAGAGAGCTTTCCATGAAGTAACAAGGGACCTACACGCATTTGTTCCACAAATAATAATGAAGGTCTCCCATGGGTAGGGCTTTGCTGGGGCCAGGAGAAGAGTGGTGAGTCAGAAATGGTCTGACTCCAAGCAGATCATGGCTTACGGGAGCCCAGCATGCAAACAGGTGATCACCAAGCAAGATAGAAAGTACTCTGGAAGGCCTGAGCACATGGAACTAGGGGAGCTTGCAGTGGGGACCAGATTTCGTTCTTAGATATTTCCAAACTGAGATCTGAAGGAGACAAGGAGGTAGTCAGGTGAAGGAGGGGAATTGGGGCAGAGGTGTTTTCTTGGCAAAGCGAGGGTCACGCGCTGTTCTCAGGTTTGTTCTAAAAGTGTTGACCTGATGGAAGGAGCCATAGTATAATAAACAGCTATCCTCCAGACATATTGTTTTAAAACATAGTATCTGTATCAACCCAGAATGAATAGGCACCCCTTCCTTAACCTTCTCTTGAAAAGATAATACTCCTGTACACCATGAGTTTATATCATGTCTTCGGATCCTATGGTAATAAAAAATATCAAGACTTCATTCATTACCTCTCAGATACAAGTAGAGAGTTTGTTTTCTACCAACGTGGGGTTAATAACTATCAGCCAGTCACATTCATTGAATAGACCTCCTGTTTAAAGCATTGTGTTTAATGGGATTTTAGACATTTAGACAAAAGGAATTTATAATTTAGTCAGAAGAGTGTACTGTTGGCACACAGGGACACACCGCTCCCTTAGGGTTCTCCGCAGAGTAGACGTAAGTATCGGCTATATGGCAGGCACGCACACAGCATTGACAGAGGTCGCAGAGGTTGGAGGTGTGGATGGTGCTCGTCCACAAACGCCAAGAGCTTGCACACAGCATGTTCACTTTTCACCTAGTTGGGATTGTCACTCCCAACTGTCATAGAGTGAACATCTCCTCCCTCCCAAACCCAGAAACTGCATTCTGGGGGATGCAGCTTGAGAATTTGAAACTTTAGACAGAAAGAAGAAAGATCTCAGTGATAGGCCTGTGAGGACAGGCTAAGACCCGCAGCATGAAAGAGAATTGAGGTTCCCAGTGTTGCAGATGAGTCTGATGGGCTCTCACCATGGACAGTATCATCGGACTTCATCTCTGTGCATTGTGCAACTGTCTAATTTTACAAAGAGTCACATAAAGAGGTATTTAAAGAGCAGACCTATGCCCCATGTCAAAAGACTGACAAGTCAACAAAGGTTTATATGTTTTATGTTAAAATGAAATGATTTACCTGCAGCATCAACTTGTATTGTCCTCGAACCTAACTGACGTTTGTGACTCAGTGGCCTTCTGGTTCAGACTAGGGAGGTTGGGAGAGTCACCACTCAGTTAAAAAGACACAATATGCAAACAGAAAGGCACACATACAAAGTAGCCTCCGGCAAATATTAAACAAGCAGCTCAGACCATAAATATCAGTAAGTTTAAGGGCAGGAGGGGACGGTGGTGGGCTTCATGGCTGGGGGAAGAGAAAAGAAAAGCTTTATTGATTGCCTACTGTAACTTGAATCATTCGTATGGTAGTTATCTATGTAGCTTGAGGGGATATAGTAAAAAAAAAAAGGCAGTTCTCACTTTGCACTCACTAGTATGAGGAAGAAGAAAACAGAAGAAATAATAATAAAATGGGATGCATTCTAATATTAAAACCCTTTCTGGTCATTCAGTAATGGGAGGATATATCCAGTAGGGGCTTATTAGTCTTTTTTTTTTTTTAAGATTTTATTTATTTATTTGACAGAGAGAGACGCAGCTAGAGAGGGAACACAAGCAGAGGGAGTGGGAGAGGGAGAAGCAGGCTTCCCGCCAAGAAGGGAGCCCGATGTGGGGCTGGATCCCGGGACCTGGGATCATGACCTGAGCTGAAGGCAGATGCTTAACAACTGAGCCACCAGGAGCCCCGAGGCTTATTAGTCTTGTCTTAACACTGTCCGATGTTTTTTTTTATTGTGCTCCATTGTTAAAGAAATGCTGCTTAGCTCTTTGGACCAGAACTGTATTTTAATTTATTTTAATTTCGATTAGCCACCATTAGAAATAATACGGATGTGAGTACATGAGTGAACATTCAGCGTCTCCGCTTTCCATAACGAGAGACAGACTGTTTCTCCTCCAGTTAGGCTAAAATCTTGTGAAAGGCTTCTGTTCTTGGGTATGAATTTTTTTTTTAATGAATTTCAACCCTTGTCTTTTCAAAATTGTTACTTGTGTTTACATTGCAAAACAAATGTGATATTTTGGGGGATTCTGCACCCTCTGTACCTGGAGTTGTGACATTGTTTGGAAAAGGTCAGAGGAAGTTACTGGAAAACAGGAAGCTGCCCTTGTGCACTGTGAGAGCCTGAGAAAATTTTCATAGTAGAAAATAGTTTATTCGGCAATGCACTGTGCTTCCTGGAAAAGAGTCTACAGAGTCTCCCTGAGCATAGAAAATGATTGATTTTTGACCATAATTTGAGACAGAGCTCAAATCCCTTTCCTGTTGGTGGGGCTTGAGTTCTCTCCTGAGAGAAAGTCCCTGCACTCACAGTAATGGTAGTCCAGTCACCACCTCGCTGTCAGGCCTCACAGCATTGTGTGCAGTGCACTGACCTGCCACTCTCAGCGCCCTTCAGTTTTGTTAAATTTAAATGTAGCACCCCTGCCCAGATCCTTATCCAGCAGTCGCTGGTTCATGGCTGGTGTCGGCCCCTGACGGCGGACACTGACACTCGTCCTCAATGTAACTTCATCAAAGTAACTCGTGCGACCCTGTTTGATCGCAGGAATGATTCATGTACCCAGACAGTGCACCCCGCTTTGGCCTTCAGCCTGTGCACCTTTGATCCTCTTGGCCTCTGGTATGGCCCTCCTGGCTGGTTCCGAAGGGCTGAGCAGCCACGTGCTTGTATCACTGTCGCCATACGTCTTGCTCCTTCTATTTATATGGTGTGTGTCTGTATCAGTCTGCTTCTGTTCACTTTCTCATTTGTAGAGAACACTGAAAACCACTCTGCAACACCAGCAGCTCCTGTTCCGTCTCCAGCTCTTCCTAAGCCTAAACCCAAACCTAAGCCCAAAAAAACACCTGTGCCTCCAAAAGGGGCTGCTGCCGGGGCAAGCCCCAAGGGCGACGAAGTGCCTCCTATTAAAAAAATTACCAAGGCTCCTGGTAAGCAGGCCCCCATCCCTCCACCCAAGCCAACGAGCCGAAACACGACCCGAGAGGCTGGTGAGTATGCCCCCTGGGGGCTGGAGTCTAGGGTGTTTGGCCCTGGGGTGGGGCTCATTGCTTTTTCTAGGAACGGTGGCCTTTCTGGTATCTGGTGTCTTAGAATGTAACACCAGTGGATTTCACTTTGCCATAGAGAATACCCAGGAGATTCCTTTGTTGTTGCCTCTACCAAAGGAAAGTCAACCAGTTGATTAGTTGACCTCACTAGTTTTTGGGTGAATAGACCTCTTTCATTCCAAGTATCCACTATCTGTGTAAGAACCAGTAGAAGGATTCAGAGTGTAGTGTGCTTGATGAATGCCGGTGATCTGATATCACATTATTTACACATCGCCTGGCTTTCTGCCTATTTGAGTTCATGGGTGGCTCCTTGGCTTGGATTTTCCTTTAAAATGTATATGATCTTATATGCATATATCTTATGTCACATATAATTTTATATGCATATAAGAATATGACACGTCTTTGACATTTTTGCTGGAGCTTAGTATCTTAAATCTATCCACAGATGTAGTCATTTCTCTACTGGCAAATGACAAAGAGTTCATGTCCCTCAGTCCAGCTCCACCCCACCACTCTCTACTGGAATCACAGCTTTTTCATCCGAGTTGAGAGTCACATGCTCAGTGTTCACTGTCCACCCTCATCCCCAGACTTCCGTGTGTTAGAAGGAATAGCATTCTACAGGTGTAGTTACAATCACTATTGCACATCACCACGGGTGGTTTGGGCAACCTACAAACAACGTGTAATGTCTGCCCAGCGTTCCTTTCAAATCAGTTATGCTTAATGCAGAGTGGAGCTCCCAGTCTTCTAGTCAAGTGGCATAAAGAAGGCTACCATGTCGTCCAGCTGCAAAAAGGACAGTAATCAAAGTATACCTGCTGAATGGCTTTTTCCGCTAACGCATAAACATTCTCCTGTGGTATAGCAAACCTTATTTTCCTCAAAGTCAGTTACTTTCTTGCAGTTGGCTCCCAGGCTATGCCTCCATGTTGATCTTTTTCCCTCCATCATTTATACCCGTACTGCAAAGAGAATGGCTTACTTGACAGTATAGCAGAACTCCAAATACAAATAGATGTTTCTCTACCTGTGCTCCTCTCTTTGGCCTTTGACCTCAAGAGTCTGGGTGTCTTCTAATAAGCTCTGAAAGCAAATGTCTCAGAATGCTCTGCTTACGGTGCCGACGGGCCATTTCCTCAGGTACCAACTGCCCTGTGTCCATTCTTGTTGGCATTGCTCTGGTTCCCAGATTGCCTAGCAAACCTGAGGAGCAGGGCTTGAAGTGAGGCAGGCAGTGATCCACTTCTTAAAGAAAAGCCCCAAACAATTGCCCCATGCTTGGGAATTACACAAACTTTCTCACTTCCTCCTGCCCCATAGGGTAGAGGCTCACTATTGCCTTGGCTTGGGCTTTCTCATTTTTCTCAGAAGAAAGCTGGTGATTAATGCCGGGGCAGGGTACAGCTTTCGTGAGAGATTTTGAGTTATACCCAGATATTTTACTTGAAGGTTTATTTATGGGCTCATGATGTTCCTAGGAGAATAATACAGTCACATTATTATCCATTGTATTAAATAAGGTTCCAGTGGCCCATAGTTTGAATAACAGTGTTGCTCTTCTCAGGCCGTCCCAGAGAAACAGGGGTTTCATTGAGCTATACCAACAAGCCTGATGTGCAAGAATCCCTTGATCAAATATTGATAATACTCCTTCAGATTCCAACTGATATTCCACTTGTAACCATTTAGAACTTCCTACGTGGGGACTTGGTTTTATTTGAATAATGTTGTCCTTCTAGAAAAGTTACTTCAAATGCAACTCATGACTTTTAGTCAGATGTTTCAATTCTTATAAAAGCTATCAGTTAGGATTCTTCTTCAACTCCTTGGTTAGTATAGACCTCCAGATAACCAGATGCTGGCTTAGCACATTCAACTGTTTCATGTGTGAAGTAAGGTCAAATCTCCTGTATTTTTTTTCTTTCTCATTGTTACACACTGTGTTAACAATGAAAGTATTTAACCGAGGAGAGGTGGCTTTACTTTTTTAATCATGGCCTAATTCAAGGTAGCTTAAGCAACATGGTTGATATCAGCAGTCTTGTCGTTTTAAAAGAAACTTAAAGAAGTATCTGGAGAAGTGTGACTTGAAGCTGCACCCCAGGCATTGAAAAAATTGTCTTTTTTTCCTTAAGTTGAGCTAAAGTTAACTAAAGATAATTGTTAGAAAAGAAAGAATTTTCTTTAAAAATATATCTATGATGCACATTAATATACATATGGGTATATGAAAGGGATTCTGTTCAATTTACCTACAAAAGTAACTGAATGTATTTAGACATCAAATCCTTAGATCTTTTTTGTGAAAAATAAATTTAGAATGGACTTAGATTGTAGAAGTATGCTTAATACCCTTGTCTTATTAGCAAGTGAAGATTGTTAGCTTCAAAGAAGTAGTATGAGCAGGCCCAGACTTGGGGTAGTGTGAATTCTAGTTGTGTGTATCTAAAATAATAAAGCCCCAAAGCCATAAAGATACCTTTTAAGTCTGGGTCCTCTTACCAAGTGAGACGCGCACTTTTTTAATATGTCAGAGTTGATGAAGTCTTACATCTCATTGTCTATTCCTTTATTTGTTCTTCATTTCTTGACCCTCCCCCAACTGACTTCAGTAAAGGTAAGTTATAATAACATCTGTTATGGATTGACTCCATGGTACTAACAAGATATTTTGTAATAGTTTTGTGGAAGATAGTTTAACCCCTCATGAAAAAGAAGGAATGTACGACATTACAACAGAAGAGGCAATTAGGAGAAATTTATAGATCATACAGGTCATGAAACAAAAGACTGTTCTCATAGGAGTTTAAATGTGTTTCCCAAAATGATATAAAGAAAAGGAGATTTAAGCTCTCTTTTTCTTCCTGAAAATGGTTTGGTTGAAGGCAGTCATATCCCAAAGCAGGCAAATACCTTCTAGTGGCCCCAACCCTCCTCTGATGAGGACCCTCTAGGAACATAAGAGGTAAGGAAGATGGGCTTTGTGAGGGCGTTGGTCACAAGATCTGAGAATGGCATTCTTTCCCTTCAAATTATTCCAGTGCTACCCATGTAGACATTTTTTGTAAAAAACAATTTTTGATATTTTGTGGGTTTCGGGGGTTTTTTAATTTAATTTCAATTTAATTAACATATAGTGTATTATTAGTTTCAGAGGTGATTTAGTGAATCACCAGTTGCATATCACACCCTGTGCTCATTACCTGAAGGGCCCTCCTTAATGCCCATCACCCAGTTGCCTTTTGATATTTTGAAGGGGACTTGCCCTTCTAATGTGGCCGTGTGTTTTCTCTCTGCCTCATTGCCACTGCAGATGGAGGTGCAGCTGGCATGGCAAGCTTCTCTCTCTCGAGCCATGGGGATAACAGGTTTAGAGCTGAGTACATTTGCTTTTGGTCCAGAAAGGAGCCAGAGGGATATACCCTGGCCACTCTGAATGCGGGCCGCTCCATTCCCAAAAAGACATCATTGAACATGTAGAATTTGTGATGAGCCCAACCTGGCACTATAACCGGACAGTTGCTGTCTGTCCTTTATACACTGTGATGTCCCTTCTTTGGGGCATGCAGGGACTCATTCAGGTGACCTATAAGACAAGCAGCTGAGGCTTTCCCTTTGGCTGGTCCAGCCAGAAAAACTAGAGGGACTCTTCTTGTCCCTTAAGTTTTGCCTTCAGCATCACTGGCTCCCCCCTAGATTCGGGGTAGGAAGGAGGCAGAAAATAAAACCATTATCCTAATTAGCCTATTATTTCCTTTTATTTGACAAATGTTAACATTTTACAGAGAGCATCATAATTGACAGTTGCAACTCATTTGTTTGTTTAAACAAATTTAAACTCATATTCTTTGACTTTTAATGCAAAATCTCTCTATTTTAGCTGGCTCCTCTCATTCAAAAAAAACAACTGGGTCCAAAGCATCAGCTTCACCATCTACTTCCTCCACCTCATCTCGTCCCAAAGCTTCAAAGGAGACACTTTCTAGCAAAACAGGGACAGTGGGAATCACAAAGGGCAAGAAAAAAACTGGCAAGCAGCCAACCTCTCGCCCGTCCTTGGATGCAACCACTTCTGGCACATCTGACCTTAAAGGAGAACCTTCTGAGACGAGGGTGGAGAGTCTCAAGCCTGAGCAGACTGTCCCTGGGACCGATGAGCAGACCACGGGCAAATCTAAGTCTGCGGTCCCTCAACCTCCTGTGGCTCCTCCACCTTCTCCCCCCGCCCCTCCTCTTCCTCATGAGGAGCAGTGCGCTTTTGCCTCAGACACTCCTGTTGTCCTGGTCAGTGATGGAGCTGACCTGCCTGTCCCTGCCTTAGACCCAAGTCAGCTTCTCTGGACCGAAGAGCCCACCAACAGAACCACTGTCCTCTCAGGCACTGGCTTAAGTGTTAGCAGAGAAAATGCAGAATGGTGAGTCGGGGCATAAACCCCCATATTGCATCTGTATCCCCTGTGAAACGTTGTGCGAAAGATCACTAAACCACTCTATGGGAATTGAAGGAACCTACTTGGTTTGGTTTGACAGTGTAGTCTAGTGATTGTTAGGGAAGTACACGTATCATCCAAGCATCGGTTTTTTCGTAGCCCTGCCCCAGGAATGTCACAGGCTACTGGAGAAGATGGCATCAGTCCTACTGACAGGTACCACTTCAGATCTGTGGCTTTCAAGTAGATTTAGAGACGGCTTCATCGCTGTTCAGCAGTCCCTTTTCTTTTTTCCCTGGACAGTTCCCTTTTCTTTCCTTACAGTGGTTATTTTAAGTCTTTACTACTTGTGTCCAGATGGCTCACCCATTCCTGCCTACCTTCGTTACAAGTCATGTAGCCTTCTCTTTCTCGAAGGAAATAAAGACCATTAGGAAAGAACTCTCTCAGATTCCATCCCTTTTCCCACCAGCTTCAGGGGGGCCTCTTGCTTCCTCAATTCCCCACCCAACTCCAATGTTACCTCCTCTCTGATGCATTTCAGCACTCATCCAGACAGAATTGGTTGGTGCATCTACTCTGGCAACCCTTTTTTTCCTCTCTCCATGGGACAGAGCTAAGCAATATATCTGTTTGCCTCTACATCCCTAGCAACCAGTACAGAATCTGGTATGCCATAGACATGACATCATCCAGTTGCCCAAGCCAGAAACTGGGGATTCGTCCTAAGGGTTCTCATTCTTCTTTGTTCCATGCATCTAATTCCTCATAAAGCCCTATCTATAAAGGCAAAAAAAACACATTAGCTTTCCTGTCCCACAGGTATGAAGGCAGGGCTGTTGGAGTATAGTAGTTGTCATAACCAATTCTGTCTGGGGAAGTCTTAAGAGTTCTTAAACCCAACCTCTCCTCTCCTGTTTCTAAGAATAAAACTAAAATTCACTCTTGTGATCATTTAATATTTTCTCTTTTAAAAAAAGCTTAGTCATATTAGACTTAAAAAAATTAGTACATTAATTAAGTTGATTTGGATCAAGAGACTATTGTCGTTAATTATTCAGTTGCTGATAATAATCACCTTCATTTATTGAATAGTTATTTAATGTCAGGAACTGTCAGTTATCATTAACTCACATAAGTCTTATCTGAAATATCTCTGTTTAATAGATGAGAAAACTGACACTGAGAGAGGGAAAGTAGTTTGCCCTAGATTCCCCACTTAGTAAGTAGCTAAGTCAGAATTTAGGCTCAGAGCTGCACACTTAGAGCACTCTATGTTCTAAGAAATTGTGTACATTTCCAAAGCACTTGCTTCTATTTCGGCAGTTTCTTTTGTGTTTGTTTCTTGTTTTTTTGTTTTTATCATTTTGAGCACCATGGTTTGGAGGAAAGCCAAGGAAAGATAAATGTTAAATTATAAATTATTTTATTTGCTTGACACATTAATAAACAATATGGGAGAAGACATTGAAAGGAATGGCTATGATGCCCATAACCCTTCCAGCACATAGCAGATGTCTTCATTTAATTATAGTGTGTGTTTTGCAGCACTGCAATGAACTCCAACCTTTAGAACTCAGAAATCATTCTTTGATCATATATTTCCTGCTTGCCTTCTATGGGCTGGGCAGTGTACTCAGCACCAAAGATACAAAAGCAAGCAAGATGGGGCACCTGGGTGGCTCAGTCGGTTGAGCATCTGCCTTGGGCTCCGGTCATGATCCTAGGGTCCTGGGATCGAGTCCCGCATCGGGCTCCTTGCTCAGTAGAGAGCCTGCTTCTCCCTCTTCCTCTGCTTGCCGCTCCCCCTACTTGTGCTTTCTTTCTCTCTCTCTCTGTCAAATAAATAAATAAAATCTTGAAAAAAAAAATCAAGCAAGACCAAGACATTATAGTTAAAAATAGTTTTTACCAACATAATGTCCAACATGCTCAGGAAGTACAAATATTTAAGACAGATCTGAATAGATTGAATATATGGGTTTATTATTCACTATATTAAAGGACAAGGTACAACAAAGTGATTCCTTAGACAGTCTTAGGCAGTGAGAGAGCCCATATCCCAGGGTGACTTGACACTGTCTGGTCCACTTCCTCAGACATGTAGGGAAGCCACTATATTGTGCTAAGCACCGTGCTGCATGAGGAGGGGGGCTTAATGTCAGTCTGCAGCCCAAGTATGCACAGGATTGTCGGACAAATAGGCGAGCGTCTGTTCCCTATTTCCACTGGAACTATGACCAGAGAGCAAGCTTAGAGCATCATTAGACATCAAGATATTTATATATAGATTTTTCTGTCACTCTGGATAACTATAATCCTTCCCTAGAAGAGGGCATTGAGATTTTCTTCTCTGTATGTTCTTCAAAGTTAAAATTTAAATAGCAGTTCTTTCCACAGGAGTGGTTTGTTTGCTCTTGAGTTAATGAGCCTGGAATAAGTAGTCTCTCAAATTTTTTTCCAAATTCTTTCTTCCGTTTTTAAGTAGATATTTCAGTTAGAATTTCTAGCTCTTAGTCACTTGCTTTACTTAGAACTTTCCCTCAGTTATGTTTAGTGAACGAATGTGTGAAAATCCTGTCATCTTATGAAGAGGCTTCTGTTTGGAATACAAATATCAAAACTTTAAAGAAGATAAGTGGCTATGTGTAAAAATATCTTCCTCTATTCACATATTGCAGGGTAGTAACCATGTGGTAGATTTCTATTTATTGGCGGCTTCATTAGTATCATATAGGTCTGGGATAATTTAAGGCGGACACTAAGAAGCCCATCTGGAGCCCATATCCAAAGGGGACTTGACTGTGTTTAGTCCATTTCCACAAACACTTGAGTTCACTGTTTTGTCCAGTGTGCCCAAGATACCTAGGAGGCAAATGAGAGGCAAGTCATGAGTTGATTGACACAAATTTGGAATACAATAATTCACCTTTAAGTTAATTATAATCTATATAATATGAATATAACTTACAATATCAAGTATAAAATAAAATACAACATTTAATAGGTAGATTAAGAGTCTTAAATCTGGGTTCTAGAATGGACTTGGTACCTTGTTTTGGGCAGTGCACCCATGGTCTTCTCAGATTCCAGGAACTGCAATTTATCTGTCCCCTTATACTGGAGAACAGATGTGAGTTGTAAATGTATGCAGAAGTCTTTGAAAACTATAAAACATTATAAAATAGAAATGATGACATGAAAATAATGATAGATATCATAATAAATTAGTGAGCGGTGACAGAAACAAATACCAGGGCTGAGCCCTGAAGTATCTTTTGTTCTGCTCTTCAGAATGTGTTATTAATTGACACATCTGCTAAATGTGCTGTGGTCACCCACAATGGCTGGCTGTTCAAACAAGGATGGCCTCCAGTGAGAGTCAACTAGAAATCCAGACTGTGGAACAGTTGTCTGTTCCATTTAAAAGGAGATTTCACACGGTGGTAACAGTATGGTGGTTCCTCAAAAAATTAAACCTAGAATTACCGTGTGATCCAGCAATTCTACTTCTGTGTATATAGCCCAAAAAATTAGAAATAGGTACTTGAGTAGATATGTGTACACCAGTGTCCTTAGCAGCATTATTACAACAACCAAAAGGTAGAAGCAGCCCAAATGTTCATCAACTGATGAATAGATAAAATGTGGCATATATATGCGGTGGAATATTACTCAGCCTTAAAAGAAATTCTGACATATGCTAAAGCATGGATGAACCTGGAAGACACAAAAGGACAGATGTTGCATAATTTTGCTTATATAAAGCACCTAAAATAGCAAAATACATAGAGACAGAAAGTAAAATGTTGGTTGCCAGGGGCTGAGGGATGAGACTGGGGAGTTATTCTTTAAGGGGACAATTTCAGTTTGGGAAGATGAATAGATTCTGGAGATGGAGAGTGGTGATGGTTGTACAATAGTGTAAATGTCCTAACTGCCACTCAGCTGTATACTTTAAAATGGTTAAAATGTCAAATTTTATGCTGTGCATATTTTACTCAATAAAAATAAATAAAATATGCTGTGCATAGTTTCCCCTTTGAAAAGAATTTTGGCTGTTGGCTTTTTCTAATAAGTGAAAATTTTTTAGAGTGCTTAGACTAATAACCACAAAGTACAATTTTCAGTACCTCAGATTCTGACAGTTTACCTGTTTTTATTACTCAAAGAACTGTTTTCTGGGTTTTTTTGTTTTTGTTTTTGTTTTTTAAGTTAATGAAAACAGCAAGCACATGCTTTGCACAAAACAGTTTTTGAGCAGTGTGACATCCAAATTTGGATTCTTCTATTTTTATCAGAAGGCAATTTGGGGATTTTCTGAATCTTAAAATGAAGATTACATTGTTTTTGATATGATATGTTTTCGGTTATGTTTTCAATGACATTTTTTTTCCTATTCTAGCCTGTGAAAACTGGCAGACTTTGTATATTTGTAGTAACTTTAAGCCAGAGACTCTTACCAAGCTAACTAATAGAAAATTATTGCATACGTGCACATCACCTTTCTTGTATAGAGTGCGTTTAATTCCCCCTTTTTCCGTGTCACGTTACTAACGCATTCCTGTGAGGGGCCGTTTTACAAATGGAGAAACTAAAACACAGAGACGATACATGATTTTTTGACTTGACATACTGGCTGTGATGAAAATAAGATTAATTCATACATCAATTAAAGAAGGTATGTTTTTCTGTCACTACCCTTCTAGGTGTTGGGCTGCAAATCAACATGAATCCCACTTGTCAAGGAACTTTGAGGGCTGAGATGGCAGACAAGTGAATGGTGGTCGAGGTGCAGTGTGCTAAGTGCTCCAATGGGGTTGTCTTCAGATCACCTTCAGAGCCAGGAGGTGGGGCAAGGATCTAGATGGAAGGCCACTCAAAGATTCCTGAAGAAGCTACAGCTTTAGCTTAGGCTTGAAGGATAAGTAGGAGTTACAGGTACAGAATAAAGATAGTCAAAGTCAAATATCCGGAAACTTCTAGTTCACTGTTCTTTCCACTGAGGCCCCATGGCTATGGGAAAATCAATTTGCAAACTGTAGTTTTACCATGTTCATGTACTAAATACATCAGACATCATCTAGTCATTCCTTTTCATTTTATAGAGGAAGAATCAAAAACCTTGAGAATCAAGTCATACTGTATACTCCTGTTCCATTTCACCATGCCTAGCTGCCTTTGATTGCTTTCTCCTTTCGCCAACTTGAAAGATGCTCATGAATCCCGGGCTCCTTCTCATGGTGTTGGTGTTGTCCCCGAGGGTTGCTCTGAGCTTCACTCCACCCCTGTGTTCTTGTGCCTTTAATAGTTTTACGACCAAAGATGAGCCGGGAAAGGTAGCACCTCAGCTACCGACTTCTGGGCTGACGGGAGAATCTTCAGAATCCTTCAGTGCCCCTGAGGACGAAGGCCAAAGGGAGGACCAGGCCAATGACTCGGACTCTGATGGGCCTGTCTTGTACACTGATGATGACGATGATGAAGAGGAGGAGGAGGAGGGCAGTGGAGAAAGTAAGACTTTTTTCAAGAGGTGGGGAGGAAAGTGGGTGGCGGACAGAAGCAGGTGCGTTTTGTAGATGACAAAAGCCACTGGTGTTCAGAGAGCTGATGTTTTCTTTCCCCTCACATTCTTTTCTCAAATTAGAACTGTGTGTGTTCTAAGGTTTAACTTTTGATGACAGGCCTTTCCAGAAAATGGTTCCACAAGGGCCAGGGGGTCAGGCCTTTGTCTGTGAGGAAGATATGCACATTTGTATTTGTACAAGGAATCAGAGCTTTCTAATGACAGAGGTGTTTTCAGAATGATCAGAGATGGCCCTTCCACTCTGAGATCTTTCTCTCTCTCTCTTTTTTTTTTTTTAGATTTTATTTATTTATTCATGAGAGACAGAGAAAGAGGGAGAGGGAGGCAGAGGGAGAGGGAGAAGCAGGCTCCCCGAGGAGCAGGGAGACCAATGCGGGGCTCAATCCCAGGACCCCGGGATCATGACCTGAGCCGAAGGCAGATGCTTAACTGACTGAGCCACCCAGGCGCCCTCCTGAGATCTTTCTTGAATAAAGAGCCATAAACTCGGATTCAGTGGATTACTTAATTGGAGATGTTTGAGACTTCCACTCACTTTTATACCAGGGTTTAAAGAGAGGGGAGGGAAGAATGAGTTGAGAAAGACAAATACCTTTGAAGAATAGAAAAAAATCATTCTTCCACATAGGTGAGTTAGGATGCCTTTTAGGAAGGAGTGATACGGTAGATTAAGCCAACTGTTTATATATAACTTAGGGAACTGGAAAGTGCTTTAAAAAAAAAAAAAACTTCTAAGCATCATGACTTAGGAGTAATTCACTATGGAATTGAATTTATACATTATGAAAAGTTATTAACGATGAAACATCAGTTTGTCAAGTTCCTTTTAGTTTGTACTGAAAAACAATGACAAAATCATTATCATCCACCTGGTATTAAGTATCCTTCATTGAGGATTCTTGGTAATTAAGGATTAATATATTGCTACCATAGATAAACTTTTTCCAGCGTGATTTTTGAGTGGAGGAAAGGGGAAGACAAGAATTAACTGTGCAGTATATATAAAGGAGCTGTGTTTTTAAGACTTAGCAAGGAAAGTGTTACACAATCTGTAATTTCCATGATATGCCATCTCAGCAAAATAAACTTCAAAATCACTTTCCAAATGATGAGGTGATATTTGCAAGTTTTTTCATGGTGCCCCAACATTTTTCAGGACATTTTTAAAAATAGTTCTTCAGTTTTTCAAAATGAACTACATCCAACTCAGAACTTTTTTTTTTTTCCCTGAGGTTAATTAAAATTCCACTCTTGCATTGGATAAAGAATTTTGTCTGGACTCTGTTTAAAGTCCATGCTCTGTGTAACCTGAGTGCTGCTTGCTCAAAGCCTCTTTCTCTGCGTTTCTGCCTTTACCAATCCTCAGGTGCTTTGGCAAGTAAAATACGACGAAGGGATACTCTTGCTATCAAACTTGGCAACAGACCATCAAAGAAGGAACTAGAGGACAAAAACATCTTGCAGCGCACATCTGAAGAGGAGAGGCAGGAGATCCGACAGCAAATTGGAACCAAGCTCGTCAGGTAATGGCTGAAACGTTCATACAGCACTGACCAATTCATACTTTTCTCCCACCTGTGGTGTCCTACCCAGCTGAGATCATGTGAATTCCTTGGGTAAGGGCACACCTGGCCTGTGTGGTTTTCTAAAGTTGGTCCTGGATGGTGAACCACTCAAAGAACTTGCCCTTGGGTCCAGCCAGTCAGTGGCTTTGGCATCGCCAAAGCCTGAGCCAAGTGTCGAAAAACTTTTTCTATTAAGGACCAGTCAGGAGGTGTTATTGCAGCTACACCACTGTGCTGTTAAATGAAAGCAGCCATAAACGTTACGTAGACAAATGGGTGTGGTCATGTTCCAATAAAACTTTATTCACCAAAATAAGCAGCAGGCCAGATTTGGTCTGTAGGTCATAGTTTGCCCAACTCCTGGCCTAATCCGTGGACTCTCTGGCATTCCTCTGACTGCCATGAAGTTCTGCCCTGTGGGCCCTGAGACTGTAGAAATAGGGAGCTAGCTACAATGGCCATCCAAGTCAGGTAACTGTAGCCCCCCTATCATGACCTTCCCCTTTTAACTTCAAACAAATTGTTATCTGATTTCACATTCTGCCTCCAGCCATTGTAGGGTTTCTGCTTTGGCCACCAGCGACTTTGGAAGTCCATTGAACTGACAGTTTTAATAGAAGTGAGTGCCATTGTTTGATGATCAATTTAAGCATATTTAATAGTATTATCTATTTTGCTGACTTCTCTCACTCTGCGTAAACAACAGAGTGCATCAGTTGGGAGAAGGGGGCCGTCTGGGATCCCAGGGCAGGATTTGGAACTGGAAGAAATCCCTCTTCTTGCTTGGAAATGGAAGACTTCTGTGACTGTGTTGGATCTACAGGGTTGGCCTGGGGGGTGCAGTTCCAGAGGCTCTTCTCTGTTTGACAGATGGGGCCAAGCAGTGGCTTGTGGTGGGGAAATGAGATGCTGCACTAAAGCACTTGAGTGCCTGGATCGTAGCAAGCACTTAACCTCAAAATTAAATATTTTTATTAGTAATTTAAATCATTATATATCGCTTAAACAGCTAAAACATTTTTTAAAATTAAACCCCATATTGGCACCTTTGTTCAGTATTTCTGAAGAGCAACTCAACAATATGAAAAAAAGGAATCGTAAAGCAGTCTCTTTCTTTACGTGGTCATTCCATTTGAGAGACGATACAAGAAGGAAATAATCCAAAAGGAAAACAACCTGTACACTTTACAAGGAGGTTTATTTCAAGGCTATTTAGAGCAGTGGCAAATTAAACCAAATGCTTGAAAACAGGGGACTGATGAAGGACGTTGAGAGAAGTTGACATGGTGAACGAAGCATAGGGCAGTGGTTTTCTGACTGCCCTATCAAGGATTTCTTGGAGGCGATGCTCGGGCTTCTGTGGGGCGACCTGGAGTGGTATGAGTGTGTTTGCAGTGGGATGGGAGGTGCTCCTTCGCCCCAGGCTCAGCCATGAACAGCCTCTTCTGTTTTATGTAAGGAGTCTACTCCAGCCCCCCAAAGTTTGAGAGCCTCTGTAAGTGTACACATAAAAAATTTTGTTTGAGTAGAGTTTTTAATGTTCAAAATATGTAAATTTTACAGAATTGTTTTTCTACAAACACCATACATCTATCTGGTCACTGTCATTCAAAGATAAATCACCCATAGTCCCTCCCTTGGGGGACTCGATGTGTAGTGGAAGAGACAGAGATACTGCATGGTGAGGTCGATGAAAAGCACAAGCATGTAGGTCAAGAGAACTAGATATGAGACTGCACTCTAAACATATTTGCTAAGTACTTTGTCTCAAGCAAGTGAATTAATCTCTCATTTCCTTGTTTGTAAAATGGGAACTGGCTACTCCTTGCCGAATTATTTTGAGGATCCATGATAATGTAAATTAAGCACCTTGCACAGTGCCTGGGACTTTAAAAGTATGAACTACTGAGAGCTCTGATTATTGCCTTATCTGTACTATCACTTGTGTCATAGTGTTCTCAGAGCCGTGTGATCTGTGTGTGACCACTGCGGAGGGCAGACAACCGGGAGTTTAAAACTCACTCGCGGGACAGGTCAAATGCCCACCTGGCAGGTTACTATTTTAGTCATTTGTAAGATTTCAGGAGGTGGAGAAAGAGAGGAGGGCATTCCTGAAGGAGGAGCTTCATCAACAAAAGAAGGAGGTTGACTCTGGTGGTTGATACGGTGTAGATACGTAACAGGGTACATGGGTACATGGGTGGCACCTCATCTGGTCAGCATAGTAGCTCCCTGGGTTCTTCTGCACTGTAGGCTCAGTTTTGTAAGTCACTTTCAAGGTGGCTCTGATGAAGATTAAACTTGAACAAAAATTTTAATGAGGTATTTAAAATATCATTGATTTCAGTTCTTCACTCCATTTCTGCCACAGGCATAACATTAGAATTGATAGTATCTTATATTCAGATTACCTTCATATATATGTTTACTTTGCACAAACTCCTCCTACATCCAGAAGGCATTTTACAACAAATCTGTGATTAACAGCAAATTAACACTATAAGCAAGACCAAGAACAAAGTTATAAAGGGTTGTTAGGTCATTCAGCGTTTGTGTACATATAGTTAGCTACTAATCACAAATGAGCCTAGCTTTTGTTTTCTTTTCTTTTTTAAGAGTTTATTTATTTATTTGACAGAGGGGGACACAGCGAGAGAGGGAACACAAGCAGGGGGAGTGGGAGAGGGAGAAGCAGGCTTCCTGCGGAGCAGGGAGCCTGATGCGGGGCTCGATCCCAGGACCCTGGGATCATGACCCGAGCCGAAGGCAGACACTTAACGACTGAGCCACCCAGGCGCCCTGAGCCTGGCTTTTCTTGAAGGCAGATGGAAAGGGCCCATGTATCTTAAGATAACTCTATGTGTAATATAAATCCATTTGCGGTCACAAAAACAGTATTTCTTTTTTTTTTTTTTTTAAGATTTTATTTATTTATTTGACAGAGAGAGACACAGTGAGAGAGGGAACACAAGCAGGGGGAGAGGGAGAGGGAGAAGCAGGCTTCCCGCAGAGCAGGGAGCCCCATGCGGGCTCGATCCCAGGACCCTGGGACCATGACCTGAGCCGAAGGCAGACGCTCAACGACTGAGCCACCCAGGCGCCCCTCAAAAGCAGTATTTCACTTGAAACTCTGTGCAGTGTAGATCAAGCATCTTTTGAGTTAGTATGAACTCTCATGCAGAAAACTTTCCTAGATTCTAATGATCTGTGTATTAATTGGGGGATAGGGAAACTGTTCTAACGGAGACCAAAAAGTGCAGTGGTCCAAATAAGACGCTGTCACGTGTTTATTTCCTTTTCACATAACAGTCCAGAGGTAGGTGGGCTGTCCAGGGTGGATGGCGAGCTCTGTTTCTTGCAGTCACTGGGCACCCAGATTCTGTCCTGTTGCTCTGTGGATATTCTCATCTGCATGATCCAAGCTGGCTGACGTGACCATGTTTAAGTTCTAGCCCGTGGGGGAAGGAACGAGAAAAGGGAAGACACACTCAGTCATTTTAAGGATAAAAGGCAAATGTTACAAATATCACCCCGCTCACATCCCATCACAGGGACTCGGCCACATGGCCACACCTTGCTGCTAGGCAGGCAGAAGTCTGTAGTTGGGAGCCACAGCTAGATCTCAGGAGGTTCTAGATCTAAAAGGAAGACGGAAGAATGGATAAGGGGGAGTATGTAGCGGTCTCAACCACAATCTTTAGTCTCCAAACTAACAGAAAGGATGGTAACCTATTTTGTAGGTTTAAAATGGATTTGTGTTTCTCAAAACAGGAAAAAAATAAAGCTTTGTGTCTTTGTTATTTTATTTTGCATCTCCCACCAAGGAGGCCTTGTTTGTAACCTGCAGTATATCCTTTTTGTCATCATAGGAGACTTAGCCAGAGGCCCACAACTGAAGAATTAGAGCAAAGAAATATCCTAAAACGTGAGTGTCTTACATTTTACAATGATTCCTTGTGTAACCATTAACAAGCTCCCTTTAGAGGCAATCTATTTATCAGTAGGAAACCTTGATATATTTGTTATTCACAAATGATTGAAATGGCCCATTTAGATCACATTTTTATATAATTTAAAAAACAATTTCTTGAAGTTCATATTTTGTTTTATGGTTTTGAGCCTGGTAGCCCCCAGACCAGAGTCACGGTTATGACAGTTGTTTTTAAGAGAGATGAAATATATTCCATGTATTCTTTTACCCAGATATTAAATAGAAGAAAATGCTCTAGTCTGCTTGCAAATAAATGTCAAAGAAAAGGCCAAAGAATCCACAAGGAAATAAATCAAGCATTCCTATATTATTATTAATAATACAGTTTGTTGCCAGGTTTAACAAATGACTCAATTTAAAACAGAATTATGGTGAAAGAAATTTTTGAGTCCTTTTCACTTTCCTTTGTTATGATAACTCTGTTTCCCTCTTGAGTTATTTATAATTTCTCGGCACTTAAGGAGTTCTCCATTCATTTTCCTACTTTATTTTCCCATTCTATTTTCCCCTCTGTTTTCTTTGACTTTACTTCTTACTTACTAGTCCAGTAGAACTTTATTGGAGTTCGTATGTTAAAGCTATAAAACTAATAGACGCGGTTTGACGTTATATAGTATATCAATGTGGTTACCAACCACAGTGAGTTAAGTAATGGATATTTTTAAATTGAGCCTAGCTGCAGTTTTATATGTTATTAACCTGGTTTCAAAAGAGCTTTTTATTGTGTGAAATATCAAAGAGCGGGGATGGGCAGAGCTCCGGATACAATAGTAAGAAGGCACTGGCATGTGGGAAATCTTTCTCAATCAGGCGTTTAGAGTCAAGTTGACTTGTCTGGATGATCCCCACTCTTCAGTCTGAGTTGTTTTCTTTCCCAAAGGAACGAAAGATTTTAATGGCATGTTTATACTATAAACATGCCATTAAATAATCGTTACTCTTACTAAGACAACCCAACCAGGAGAATTGCTGGTCTATGGGATTCTTTCCTTGGAATGTTCTTGTCTGGCTCTTTGTGACCAAAGACTGGAGTAGAACCCAAAGAAGGACTGAAGTGACCATCAGTGGGTAGAAGAGCCAGTATGGAGATGGAAAAAGTCATGACGAGAAAAGAAAAGAAAGTTGTGTTTTAGCGTTCAGAGGAAGGATGAAAGCAGCAGCTAATTTTGACAACAACACAAAACCAAAAAAGCTCATGGCTTTTGACAATAGGTTCCTGGAAAATATTTGTTGAATTAAATTTTAGGTAAGCTCAAGTGCAGACCATAAGCTCCTAACACACAAAGATTATGTCTTATTGGATACCTAATGCAATACCTAGAAAAAAAAGGAAGAGCAGATTCTGGGTAATTCTTTACTGCTTCTGAGAGACAAATAGTGCCAAACCACACTGGTGTTTGGTTATTTGAGGAACTGTTTCATAGATGTAGAAATTTATCACACGTTGATCTTAAGTGCTGTCTTGGCTTCTATGCCCCATTTTCCTGGAGGTTCAGGGAAGAGGGAAACGCCAAAGTCAACTTCAGATTTGACTCCAGCCCTTTTCTTACTTCCTTCTTAGTTTATCTAACTATGCTTATTCTGGAAACAAAAGACACATTTCCAGTCTGGAGAGGCTGATAACTGGCTTATGATCTCCTGACATAATATTGTATAGCCAAGGGAAGCAGAAAAGAGAACTGGTGGAGGTCATCCAGAGCATTACACTGAGCAATCCCAGGGAACTCAGCAGCATAGCTTACAATACTTTATTCAGCCTCTGTTTGCCTCTGGGTTCTTCCACATAGATTGCTCTTTTTTGTTCGTGTATTTCATCTCTGGCTTTTGTTCAAAAGCAATATGACTGACTCTTTAAAGAAAAGTCTGTGTGTGACATGGTGTGTTTGTGTGTTTTTTTTTTTAAGGACACTTATTTTAACTAGGTCGTCTTGTCTTGACAGACAAGGGAACTCATTCACAGCATAAACTCATTCAGCAGTTGTCAACTCCGAGCTCATCATTGGTTTAATAAACATGAGCCAGGTGGCAGTCAGTGCTGATCGCTTTCACTGGAGACCACAGGGCACATTTTATTTCTTAGTGTTTCATTTGCACTGTCCACCTTACTCCATCGCTTTCCTATTTTACGGAATTGAGGCTTTTTAAAAGAACATATAAAGTTACATTTAGTTGTACATTTTAGAACTGATTCCTTAATATTGTTAAAAGTAGAAGGTAAGTTTTGGTGCTTGAAAGGTCAATGTTTGCCTATCGGGAAAAGAGATGTTCATGGAATACCTTTTATAGCACAGGGATAGAAGTTACAGATCTATTTAGTTGTGACTGTAATTCCATCTCTATATTCTATAGAGAAAAAAATGTATCAGGTCATTAAGTGCTGCGTGTATTTTTTCCCAACGTTTTATTATGAAATTTTTTGAATATAGAGAAAAGCTGAAAGAATTTTACAGTAGACACCCATATATGTACTATTTATATTCTACCATTAACAACTTATCACATCTTTTTTTTACATTTTATCACATCTTGCTTTATCATGTATCTGTCCTTCCATTGATCCGTGTTATTTTTTGATGGATTTCAAAGTAGATTTGTAAATGCATTTTCACTTGTTAAAAACACCCTTATAGAAAAACATGTTAAATCAGCAAAAAGAGAAACAAACCCACAAAAAAATAGTTGGCTTTTTTTAGCCTACTGTATCCAGATGGACGAGTCAAGAGTATAATATTCCAGGTGCTGATGTTTTGGTGCTTTTCTGTCTTCTCCTTTTTAGCTCATCCATAAAACGCTGTGGGCAACACTTGCTAGCTGGGCAGGTTTCCTGCAGTGCCCACGGCTGTTAAACCACATGTATTGTTTGTGTGTGATGGCAAACACTTCCTGTGGCTGTTCTAGAATACCCTTCCTCCCCACCAAGCCCTGCTCTGAGGAGTTACTGAAGGCAAGATTTGTCAATGAGCTACGTCATTTCCTTCACGAATATCCCTCCCGTCTGTTTAAAGGGACCAGGAAGGTTTACATCCTCCTTTATAATTGGCCCTCTAATAAGCAAACGAAGGAAACATTTAAAAAACTCAGTGAATTTTTTAAACTAAGATTTAACCTTGATTCTTTGTAAGAGATTTTACAAGTATTTAAAAAAATGCAGAACAACAGTCATGCTGACTTCCCTCCACCTCTCACTTTCTTGAACTTCTTTAAAAGCCACAATTTCAAATATGGAAATATGTAAGGAAGTCAGCTCCTGATGTTAAAAAGAATTCCCAAGTGGTAAAATCCTGTTTATTGAACTCCCTCAACTGCAGTTGGCCCTTCTTTTTTTTGAATAGGTAACATGCTGTCGCCCAGTGTACACTATGCTTAATAAGATGAAATTATCAAATAGTCCCTTGTGAAAATTAAAGCATTTGTTGGCTTTGAGTCATATTTGATACCCACTTTTCTTTGAAAAGTACCTTTTTTTTTATTAAAAGATTTTATTTATTTATTTGACAGAAAGAGACAGTGAGAGAGGGAACACAAGCAGGGGGAGTGGGAGAGGGAGAAGCAGGCTTCCGGCTGAGCAGGGAGCCCGATGTGGGACTCGATCCCAGGACTCTGGGATCATGACCTGAGCCGAAGGCAGACGCTTAATGACTGAGCCACCCAGGCGCCCCAAAAAGTACCTTTAAAAATACAGCACAGTCACTGTATAGGAGGAATTGACTAAAATGGTTTGAGGATTTTATTTTCCCTTTTATTAGTAATATCATCATAGGCGACCTTGTAAAGCCTTAGTTTGAATCACATGAACCACAAGTTTGGCTCTTGCCTATTATGTATAATTTATAACCTACATGCCTTATCCAAATCATGTAAACTAAATATTTGACCCTAAGGATGTATTTTAAGAATACCAAAGGACATATATTTTGTGAAGCAATTAGAAAAACCTACAGTGTTTTCATAGGAAGAAACCTGAATTATAACAAAATTTGTTTGACACACAGGCACTTTACTCAAAGTGTATTCATTGGTTTTTTCTTATCTTTGAAGCGTGATTTCAGTTTATGCTTATTCTTTGTCTAAATAACCAGACAGATCATCCTCTTTCTTATGAATTAAAATTAGTATTTTGGAAGAATGTTGAAACTTTTCCCTGTCCAGATAAGGAAAATTAATAGAGAATTTAGCATGTTCAGTTAACAAATACAGTTGGTACAAATATTGAATATTGATATTTTATCTGTGATAAAAACAATCTTAGTGGTAAGAAGTCTATTTGAATTTTAAAAATAAATTTACCTTTTCATAGAGGAAACTCTTCTTTTTTAACCTTTCGGTTGAGCCTTTGTATCATGTGATGTTCCTTCAGTAGAATTCATAACAGCAGCTTCTAAAAGATAATCTTTTTTTTTTAAGATTTTATTTTTTTTTATTTGTTTATTTGAGAGAAAGAGAAAGCACAAGAGGGGATAGGGGCAGAGGGAAAAGCAGACTCCCTGCCGAGCAGGGAGCCCGATGCGGGACTCGATCCCGGGACTCAGGGATCATGACCTGAGCCGAAGGCAGTTGCATAACCAACTCAGCCACCCAGGCACATAAAAGATAATCTTTTGTAAGCATTGGTGTCCAAGAAGTAAAACCTGTGCTCACTTATTGAACAAATGATGGGCTGCTGGAAGCAACAGAGAGAAGTTCATCAAATAAGCAACCATTAAAACCTGAAGGGGATGTTTATTTCTTTAAAATTTCTGGTCATTTTTCTCTTTATCCCATCCATTGGACAGCATTCATTAAATTGGCCATTAAATTGTACCATTTGGTGAAGCCCTAGAGAAACAGAAGACTTTGGAAAGTCAAAGTCACAAGAAAATAAATCATCCCCATCAACAGTACACCATAATAACCCCATTCAGAACATTCTGGTTTGAAGGCAGAGTCCAAAGAAATGACTGCATTTTGCTTCTGTGGAAACCAAAGCAGACAAATCAAGTATTTTGGTTGGATTTGAATGGAAATCAACTCAGACATGCATCAGATGGTTCTAATTTGCTCTTTTGATATGTCTCAGATTTTCATGTGAAGGCCAGATCCAGAAATAAATGTTTATCTGGATTCTGATAAATTGTGCTTATAAGCCCAAGAGATGTTCAGCAATGAAAGGTTTTCACCAGAGTGTGGGCACTCCGGTAATTTTTTTCAGAATGGAATATGAAGTCAGGAAGCTAAAAGGCTTACAATTAGTAAAGAAACCAGTCCCATAAGGAGAAAAAGTAATATGTATATAAATTAATGATCGATCTTTCTGCAAAACCTTTTGACAACTTTTTAAAGATGTTGGAATGTTTGGTCACTAAGTCAAATAATTGTGGCCTGATCTACTTTTCTGATTATAAAATCATTTATAGTAACTAAGTCTTCATGCCTTTCCTCTCCCATCCCCATTAATAAACAGAAAAGAATGAAGAAGAAGAACAAGAAGCAAAAATGGAACTTAAGCGCAGACTCAGCAGAAAGGTGATGAAACTATGACTGTTAATGAGCATGTGTGTTTTGAGATCTACTTCATTATTTAAATGCAAATCAGCTGTCTGCCTTTAACTCTAACATTGAGGAATACTTATTCCTATTAGCCAATAACCAATCATAGACATTAAAATCAACGTAATGTATACGATATGAGTTATGTTTATATTTACAATTGCATGCTATGCTAATTTTGAAAAGCTAACAATCAGAAGTTTTAAATTACATTTACTGATTATGAAAATAACATACAATCTATGTGAATTTTTTTAAGTGCAGAAAGGAACAAAAAAGAGAAAAATCACACAAATGTCTTTTATTCAGAGATAACCATTATTAACATTTCAATATATAGTTTTTAAAAATGCTCACGTTTTCTGTGCAGTCTTGGAAATAGTCAGTAAATATGAAATTGGAGACCTGCCACTATTCCATGTGCGCTGGGTCAGCAATTTATTACATGAACTTGATCACCCAAGCTGCCTGCCACGGTGCTACCCACATTGACAAGTGGCTTACCTCCAAGACTCAGAGTTGTTTCCACCCATTCGTGAAAATATAGATCTGATACCTGGGCCATCACTCTTTTCTGGAAGTGGTAGTAATAGTCTTAGGAAAAATTGAGCACTATCAGAGTTTATATTTCATGATATTTCATTATAAATCTGTATTCAGTAATTCTTCAGATAGACCTTTCACACTTGGATAAGGCAGGGTGAATAAAATATGACATCTGCGGGGAAGTGTGTGACCTGACCCACATTTATTTGGGCTGGCTGGGGAGTCCACAGCCAAAGCATTCTAAGGCAGGGAGAAGAAACAATGTTCCCATGGAAAAGTTGGAGATTGTATTTTGAGAGTTTTCGGTTTTGATTTTTAGGGAAAGAGATCCTTAATTCATCTCTCTTTTTTTTTTTCAAAGACCCTAAATGACAAGTAATGATCAACCTGAAAAAGATTCTATAAACTGAATTGCTAGAGATGGCTCTTCTAACATTCAGTGGCTGTTAAGTTACCAGCTACAGATAAGTAGCCCCTCCTCATTGTTTCAGGCTCACCCCTGCCATACATAATAATCTTTTCTCCATCCAGTTGAGACCCTCCAGGAGGCAACAGAGCCCGCCCTGAGCCCTGACGGCTGAACCCTGATTCCCACTGGCCTCCACTCTACAGAGCTCTCTGCCATAGATGCAGGACATTCCATAGCACGAATAGCACAGTCCTAAAGGGCAAGACAGGAGGAAGAATTTCTGACCCATGTGGTCTCTGGTCACTGGCCTTTTGGGCACTTCATAGAGGCCTTGGTGTCTCTACCTCCTTAGCGCCACCTGCCCCAGAGAAGCAATAAGAAGCTAGCAGTAGAGACGGGACAACAACTGAGAGCAGAAGAGAACCACTTAGATCGTTCCTCCCTCTGTGCATTGCCTACCAGGGCTTTATGAAGCTCGAAGGAGCCACGGTTTGCATACTCCAGCTCAAGTGAACTCAGAGTGTAGACCCAGGCCTTCTAAGGGTCCTTGAAGGACTTGACTATTGACCTAGTTCAGCCTCTGATTTTACTCAAGAGGAAACTGAGGCTTAGGAAAGGGGATTTTTTTTTCCACCACAAAAACATCATTTTTGTGTGTCCTAGTGCTTAATTTTTTTTTTTTAAATTGAATCTGTGCAAATGAGGAACCCCTCCAAAGAGGGCCACTTAAGACAGTGGATGGTCCAGCTATATGCATAGTACAGATATGGATAGAAAAGGTACTGGAAATGGACCCCACGGGTACAACAGAAGCCTGGGCCTATGACGTCTTCAGACCGAGAGCGGCCACAAGAGCATGAACCTCAGGAGAAGAGAGTAGATGACGCCTGTCAGCCAGGGGCCAGGACTCTTTAGTCTCTCAGAACCAAGAATCTCTTATTCCTGGGCTTGGGAAAGGAGAGCAAATACTCGGGGCTGAGTGGATTAAACAGAACTATAAATTTGAATTTGACAAAGACCGTAGGAGGAATCCGAGTTATTAGAAGTGTCTTAATCGTCTCAGCCTACTTTCAGCAGTCCTGGCCCACTGAATGTGCTCTTCCGTGCCCCCTGCGGCTTTCTGCACAGCACCTTTTGCAGCAAGCAAGGGTGATGTCAAATCTGGGCATGGGTCCCTAGTCTGTCTCAGAAGACTGCTACAAGTGCAACCTTCACCGGACCGTCTCTTTGTCATAACTTTGTGCGTTCCTGAATATAAAGGTTTAATATACTAGGAACAGAGATCTCATTTCTAGAAGTTAAGAGTGCATTTGTCTGGATGATTCAGTCTCCAGACCAGCCAGCCTCTATCTGAATGGCTCTTGTGTCTGTGTTGCTTCGTGCTCCTTGTGTCAGAGATGACAGGTGTCTTTATGACAGTGCCAGGCAAGGTGGGGAAAATAGCATAACGCACATGGCTGCCAAAGCCTGTGACCTATCTAACAATGGAGGTTTTTATAGTCTCAGAATTAGGGCACACTGCTTTCTGGTTCTCATTAGAAACTCCCAAGATGCTGCTACCTTTTTTTTTCTTTTGGATATCTGAAAGTGACCTTATTCAACCATAACTTTGAAGTTCTCTATAGAAAGCTTGCCACCATGAGACTGTAAATGGTTTCCTGAACTTGTCCTTCTTTTTCCCTATCCACCTGCAGCTCAGCCTGAGACCCACAGTGGCGGAACTACAAGCTCGAAGGATCCTGCGGTTTAACGAGTATGTAGAAGTCACCGATTCTCCCGACTACGATCGCCGGGCAGACAAGCCCTGGGCCAGGTTAACACCTGCAGACAAGGCAAGAGCCCTCATGTTTTTAGCCATGATTTTATTTGTTTATGATTTTATTGCTTTTCTCAAAGCTTCAGTATCCACTTACCCCCCCTCCACACACACACACACACACACACACACACACACACACACACACACAC